TCTCTCTCTCTCTCACACACACACACACACGCACACACAGACACACATCAACAAAGAAGGGCTGGGATTTAACTTTGTGGTGCTGTGCCTGCCTCTCGACCACAACGTACTGAGTTTGATCTCTGGGAAAAAAAAAACAAAACAAAGAAACATCAGAATTATGTTGCACTGAAGATCAAATGCGTAACAAACATTTATTATTAAATCTACATTTAAAAAATTAGGTTTCAAATAGCCCACACATCCCAAGTTCCTAAAAAAACAAGAACAAACCAACTCCCAAATCAGTAGAAAGGAAGAAGTAATAAATATCAGAGCTGAAATTAATGAAATAGAGACTAAAGAAACAGTGCACAAGATCCATAAAACAAAAACCTGGTTCTCTGAAAAGGTACAAGACTGATAAACTCTTAGCCAAACTAACCAAAACAAAGAAAAAGAAAACCAAAATCAATGCAATTAGAGATCAAAAGGGGAATATCATAAAGTACACCACTGAAATCCAGAGGGTCATTAGGGACTATTTTGAAAATTTATATTCCAGTAATTTGGAAAATCTAGAAGTTGATAGATTCCTAGACATATACAACCTAACCAAAATTGAACCAAGAGGATATTCAAAAACTAAATAGATCCATAATAAGCAATGAGATTTAAGCAGTAATGAAAATCCTCCTAGCAGAGGGTTTTGTTGAACTTCACAAGACTTTCAAAGAGAAATGAACAGCAATGCTTTTCAGAACATTTGTTGAAATAGAAAGGAAAAGAAAGCTTTCACTTTCTGGTCTATTTCCAAAAGTATTAAATCCAGCATACTGTACTAATACATGCACAACCACATTTAGTGTAGTGCAATTCACATCAGCTAAGCTATGGAACCACCCTGGATACCCATCAAGAGGTAAACAGATAAAGAAAATGTGGCACATACACACAATGGAGTATTATTCAGCCAGAAAAAAGAATGAAATCATGCCCTCTGTAGGATAATGGACGAAACTGGAGGCTATCCTGTTGAATGAAATAATTCAGACTCAGAAAGTCAAATATCACATATTTTATCTCATAGGTGAAATCTAAAGACTAGAGAAAAAGGGAACAGGACAGGAAAGTAGGAAGGAGAATATCAGAGAAGGGAAGGAAATGATGTGGAGGGAAATAAAGCGGAGAGGATAATAGGAAGTGAAAACAATAAAGGTATGTTAAATACATTTATGAGTATAACAAAATGAAACCCATTATTCTGTATAAGAATATGCACTAATGCAATTAAAATGTTTAAAAAAATTTAAAACGAGATGATTGTAAAGTATAAAGTGACCATTAGATAAGAGCAACTGGATAAAGGGGAGAAGGGATACAGAAAA